ACAAAAGAAAGAACAAGTGCCACTGAGTAGCACAAATTGCTACCTATGAATAGTTTGAGTCTGTGGGCATTATAATTGCCAAGTAGTCTCCAGTAGAGACGAGTATGTTTTTACAGTGATATTTAAAATTAATACATGCTTTATAATACTTATCAGCCAGGGCTTTTTTAAACAGTTTTCCTTACTAATGTCGCAATTTTAAATCCATTTAGGCTGATTTCCTTCGACTTGAATCTATTTTAATCAGAGACCAGGATACTTGACTGAACTGGTTTTATAAAACTCTTCATAAAAATCAGCAATAAAAGAGCATTAGGAAAATAGAGAACAAATCTTGGAACAAGATGGGAGGGGGGAAATGAAAATTTCCAAATCCTCTAGCAAAGTCATAACCACTCCCCAATCAGACAAAACACCCACCTAAAATGCCAGGATACTCAATCCCTGAAGAAGCAAGTGCAAAAATATACTATGGAATGCTTCACAGAGACAAACACAAAATTACTGTACCCAAAAATGCCCCAGGTCAACCCTCTCCCAAAATATTAGCCAAGTCGCACAATCATTTTTGTAACAAACCCAAAAACTCAATGGGAGGGAAATACAAAATAACACACGCCAGATGTGACTGTTGTTTCTGCAGAAGAATCAACTGGGGTTGTGATAAGCTAAAAATGTTAATGAATTCAACCTCTCCTGCCCAACATCTCAAAGAACATTAATTCCCAAACTCAACTCACAAATTAACTGTGCTAGAGGTAAGAATTCTGGATGGGGAAGTTTGTGTAAGGAGCTCATATTCAGGTGTTAGAGAAGGCTCCTCACCAAGGTTTTTCAGTGGAGTAGGATTTGTAAATCAGGTAGCTAGAGGTGCAAACCCTTTGATGTGTATCTCCAGTTCATTTTGCTGATGCACGTGTAAATTGTGCCTGCACAAAGGAGATTTCGGCTTCAATCCCTTTGAAAAAATCACCTAAATATTTCTGTTTTCATTGTTCAGGGGGACTTGGAAACCATTGGTGGCTGCCTGAAACTTATCCAGCATGCAGATAAGTAAAGGACTTCAGCTTGTCATGACATTAAGTCCTTAACCCTTTCCCAGCATGCTGTGTGTATTTAACCATATCTCCTTTTCGCATGATTATCAGTGGTCTGCAGATTCCACGTAATATCTCTGTCACTAACCTAATGACATGGAATGTGGATATATATCTTTTGTGTCTTAATCTTTCTAGACACATTTGATAGGAGCCTTCACTAACATCACAGACAAACTGATGCTTTCCCATTTCAGAGAACATTCTGTAAGACATATCTAAAATTAAGTTTAATAAAAATAAGCTCCAGTAATGTCTGTGCCCAGACTCTTAACAAAATGATTTGGCATTTCATTTGTCTACCCTTCTCTATGTGCTTAGCAGGTAAATGTAATATCTCATCATTATAATCTTAAAATGTATCTGGAAAAAAGAGTACATCGCCATTCAGAGACATTTGGAGCCTCCATTTAAAAGCATCTGTGCTGAAGTAGCATTCCCCCATGAGCTAACTGTGCTCTAATATAGAATCATAGAAATGTAGGACTGGAAGGGACCTCAATAGGTCATCTAGTCCAGTTCCCTGCACTGAGGCAGAACTAAGTATTATCTCGACCATCCCTGACAGGTGTTTGTCTGCTCTGTTCTTAAAAACCTCCAGTGATGGAGATTCCACAACCTCCCAAGGCAATTTGTTCCAGTGCTCAACTATCCTGACAATTAGGAAGTTTTTCTTAGTGTCTAACCTAAATCTATTTTGCTGCAATTTAAGCCCATTACTTCTTGTCCTGTCCTCAGTGGTTAAGTAGAACAATATAGCACCCTCTTCTTTATAACAACCTTTTACATATTTGAAGACTTATGTCCCCCCTCAGTACTCTCTTCTCCAGACTAAACAAACCCATTTTTTTCTCAGTCTTTCCTCATATGTCATGTTTTCTAGATCTTTAATCATTTTTATTGCTCTCCTCTGGATTTTCTCCAACTTGTCCACACCAAAAAAGTGTGGTGCCCAGAACTGGACACAGTACTCCAGTTGAGGCCTTATCAGTCCTGAGTAGAGTGGAAGAATTACTTCTCGTGCCTTGCTTACAACACTCCTGCTAATACATCCCATCCTGACTACAGAGCCTAAACCTGAAAAGAAAATAAATAATATTTGGATCAACCTAACCTGCAAAGATCACTCTTTTGACCCATATGTTAGGCATTTCCTCATATCTCCCTTCTGCTACAACTGTGTGGTTGAACAACTAGCCTGGAGTTGGTGAGGAAGGCAATTGACAGCTGCGTGAGAATCCGAGATGCCAAGCCAAATGGCAGTATTACAAGTTAAGTGTCTGGTGACCGTCTTAATAGGAACATAAGGACATAGGACTGGAAGGGACCTTCTGGGTCATCAAGTCCAATCCCCTGCTGTCACAGGCAACCCCATCAGATTATTTATTTGTATTATTGTAGCACCTAGCAAGGAGTCCCTATCATGGACCAGGACACCATTTTACTAGACTCTGTGCAAATACAGAACAAAGAGACAGTAATCCCATTCATAAACTTAATGTGGGGTACCTCGGGTTCAATTCTTGGGACTAAATTCTCATTCCTTGGGCTAGCATGCTTGGGGAGTGCAGCAAAGGCAGAATACTCATCTATCCATTTGGTGATGGGAGAGAAGGGCCTCTGGGTGGATTAAAGCACAGTGCAGGCTGGCACTGAAGGGATGCCCATCAGACTGACTCAGCTAGAAGACTAGTGAGGCATAGTGCAGGGGGCAAATAGTTTATTCTGGGAACTCTAGCAGGACTAAGGAGCTGGCAGAAAAAGAAAGTAGAGGCTCTTTGCCCAATTCTAAAGAGCAACAGACATCTGTGAAAAACTGTGTCTGATACCACAGTGGGCGATGCTCTGCTGCCTGGAGTGGATCTGGGCCTCTCCTATCATTACCACCCACAATTTTACAAAAGCAACATATTAAGTTTTGTCCTGGTAAACTGTCTCTTGGGTTTAATCCCAACCAATTAAATTGTTCACTATTGAACGAGATTGTCTAGTGACTGAATTAAGTGGGAAGGGAGAAAGCATCAACTGAGATCATGGATCATTCTACAAATACACTAGAAGCAAGAGGAAGACCAAGGACAGGGTAGGCCCATTACTAAATTGGGGGGGGGGGGGGAAATAACAACAGAAAAGCAGAAATGGAAATGGCAGAGATGCTTAATGACATCTTTGTTTCGGTTTTCACCAAGAAGGCGATTGGACGTCTAACATAGTGAATGCCAGTGAAAATGAAGTAGGTTCAGAAGAGGCTAAAACACGAAAAGAGCAAGTTAAAAATTAGGTGGACAAATGAGATGTCTTCAAGTCACCAGGGCCTGATGAAATACATCCTAGAATACTCAAGGAGCTGACTGAGGAGATATCTGAGCCATTAGCAATTATCTTTGAAAAGTCATGGAAGACCGGAGAGATTCCAGAAGACAGGGAAAAAGCAAATATACTGCTCATCTCGAAAAAGGGAAATAAGGACAACCCAGGGAACTACAGACCAGTCAGCTTAACTTCTGAACCCGGAAAGATAATGGAGCAAATAATTAAGCAATCAATTCGCAAACAGCTAGAAGATAATTAGGTGACAAGTAACAGTCAGCATGGATTTGTCAAAAACAAATCATGTCAAACCAACCTGATAGCTTTCTTTGACAGGGTAACAAACCTTGTGGATGGGGGGAAGTGGTAGACATGGTATATCTTGACTTTAGTAAAGCTTTTGATACTGTCTCGCATGGACTTCTCATAAACAAACTAGGGAATGCAACCTAGATGGAGCTACTATAAGGTGGGTGCAAAACTGGTTGGAAAACCATTCCCAGAGAGTAGTTATCAGTGGCTCACAGTCATGCTGGAAGGGCATAACGAGTGGGGTCCCACAGGGATCAGTTCTGGGTCTGGTTCTGTTCAATATCTTCATCAATGATTTAGATAATGGCATACAGAGTAGACTTATAAAGTGTGCAGAGGATGCCAAGCTGAGAGGGGTTGCAAGTGCTTTGGAGGACTGGATTAAAATTCAAAATGATCTGGACAAACTGGAGAAATGGTCTAAAGTAAACAGGATGAAATTCAATAAGGACAAATGCAAAGAACTCCATTTAGGAAGGAACAATCTGTTGCACACATGCAAAATGAGAAATGACTGTCTAGAAAGGAGTACTGTGAAAAGGGACCTGGGGATCATAGTGGACCACAAGCTAAATATGAGTCAACAGTGTAACACTGTTGCAAAAAAAGCAAAGATCCTTCTGGGATGTATTAGCAGGAGCGTTGTAAGCAAGACACAAGAAGTAATTCTTCCACTCTATATCATGTTGATTAGGCCTCAACTGGAGTATTGTGTCCAGTTCTGTGCTCCACATTTCAGGAAGGATGTGGACAAACTGGAGAAAGTCCAGAGAAGAGCAACAAAAATGATTAAAGGTCTAGAAAACATGACCTATGAGGGAAGATTGAAAAAATTGGGTTTGTTTAGTCTGGAAAAGACAAGACTGAGAGGGAAAATGATAAGTTTTCAAGTATGTAAAAGGTTGTTACAAGGAGGAGGGGAAAAATGTTTTTCTTAACCTCTGAGGATAGGAGAAGAAGCAATGGGCTTAAACTGCAGCAAGGGAGGTCTAGGTTGGACATTAGGAAAAACTTCCTAACTGTCAGGGTGGTTAAGCACTGGAATAAATTGCCTAGGGAGATTGTGGAATCTCTGCCATTGGAGAGTTTTAAGAGGAGGTTAGACACAACACCTGTCAGGGGTGGGCTAGATAATACTTAGTCCTGCCACAAGTGCAGGGGACTGGACTAGATGACCTCTCAAGGTCCCTTCCAGTTCTGTGATTCTATGGAGGAAATCAACACTGCTGGCTTATCACTCACACCAATGGTTTTGAGATGTCGATAATAAAGGATACTTACTTGGTTGGACGATAATCCGGTATGGAACGATCCAGTGAAATTTTCTCACTGAGGTAGGAATTATAGCCATATTTCTCATGTGGCCCCTTAGCTTTCTCTTCCTCTGCCGGGGAAAGGGTGGCAGGAAGCCCACCTTTACCACGCCCACCGTAGCCTTCAATGAGACCAAGCGACTTAGACAAACCTTGGGAAAGAAAAGAAAGATAATTGTTGTAGAGTGCTTATATATCAAATCACCACCACCACCCTTCTCTGGGGCGGTAGGTAGATGCTCTTCCTAGTAGCTGCAGCCAAATAGTTACACATTTCTCCCGGCAATAAGTGAACGTCTGTACAGACCAGCAAATCAGATGAAGGTACTTTAATTAAGGACTAAAGTTAGATATTCAGAGTCTGTCATACTCATTTTCACAATCCCATTTGTTTGGAGGGATTGTACATTTTCATAAAGGATATACTGTTACGTGTCTGTTTGTTCATATATCTACTATTTTAGTTTTCAGAGTAGCAGCCGTGTTAGTCTGTATCCGCAAAAAGAACAGGAGTATTTGTGGCACCTTAGAGACTAACAAATTTATTAGAGCATAAGCTTTTGTGGGCTACAGCCCACTTCATCGGACGCATAGAATGGAACATATAGTAAGAAGATATATATATAGTGACAAAGTTCCTCCTCTACCTTGGTGGGTCTTGTGCTTATTGGCAGATTTGCTTGCCATGGAGCTTCATGGCAGCCCTCAGCTTGGCCGTTTTTCTGAACCCACAGTCCAGGTCGACTCCTCCTGTGTCTGACCAGGAGTTGGGAAGTTTGGGGGGAACCCTCTACTCCGGGTTCCAGCGCAGGGCCCTGTGGAATGCAGCTGTCCAGAGTGCCTCCTGGAACAGCTGTGCGACAGCAACAACTCCCTGGGCTACTTCCCCATGGCCTCCTCCCAACACCTTCTTTAGCCTCACCATAGGACCTTCCTCCTGGTCTCTGATAATGCTTGTACACCTCAGTCCTCCAACAGTCCGCGTTCTCACTCTCAGCTCCCAGTGCCTCTTGCTCCCAGCTCCTCACAGTCACACCACAAACTCAAGTGAAATCCTTTTTAAAACCCAGGTGCCCTGATTCGCCTGATTGATTCTAGTAGCTTCTTGACTGGGTGCATGTATTCTAATCAGTCTGTCTTAATTGTCTCCAGAAAGTTCCTGATTGTTCTGGAACCCTCCCTGTTACCTTACCCAGGGAAAAGGGACCTACTTAGCCTGGGGCTAATATATCTGCCTTCTATTACTCTCCTACAGCCATCTGGCCTGACCCTGTCACTATATATATATATATATATATATATATATATATATATATATTATACACACACGCACATACAGATAAGTTGGAAGTTGCCATACAAACCGTGAGAGGCTAATTAGTTAAGATGAGCTATTATCAGCAGGAGAAAAAAACTTTTGTAGTGATAATCAAGATGGCCCATTTAGACAGTTGACCAGAAGGTGTGAGGATACTTAACTTAGGGAAATAGATTTTAGTGTCCATCACTATTGCAAGTATGTGCTTCCCAGCCATGCAAGCAAGGGAGTTGAGAAATTCATCATCTGCAGGGATATACCCCAACAGTTAACTAAAATGCAGTCCTGGAAAAAAGTTTCCCATCAGTAACCAACATGATGATCCCGCCTGGAGAACTGTACATACTGCAAACTCTATTTAGTTGTTAGGGAAGTTATGGTTATTTATACCTACTTCTCTTTCTCAGTGGGGTAATTATATATAAGGTTAGATGTCCCCAGGAGGAGAATGGGCTGAACACAGAATAAGAACAGAAACAAGTTGGGTAACTGCCAAGTGAATAATTTTTTTACTTAGTATGAACAGTGAATAGCATACAAATGTTGTTGATTTAAAAACAATTTTCCCTCCTAGCTTTCTTAAAGTGTAACCACATTCTTAGACCTTTATCAAAAGGATTTATTCATTCATATATGTGTAGCTGTAGGAATTAAACAAGGTTCAAGAATGAATCAAGGAAAATAAGAATAATAATGATTGGGGAGGTTGTGGGAAGCCAAGTTAAGACTTGCTTCACTCGTGATATAGAGCACCTGACATTTTAACATTTTTCACTAGTGGAGATTCAGACCTTTCTCTTTGGCAGATACTAAGAAGTTTGATGCATAATTTCTTTTTAAAACCTTGATATTTCCTTCTTCATTTTTATTTCCGAGAGCCCTGATTCACAAAGCAGGGCTCTCCATCACCCTGCTAATGCTTAAGACAAGAGAGGATGGTCTTGTAGCTAAAGCACAGTAGTTGGAATTCACAGATCAGAGTTCTGCTCCCAAATTTGCCATGGACATCATGTGTAACCTTGGGCAGATGACTTAGCCTCTTTATGCCTTAGGTTCCCCATTTTCAAGACAGGGATTTTAAATACTTCTCTACCTTAAAGGGTTGTTGCCAGGCTTAATGAAAATCATTTGTGAGCATAAATCACCATGAAATCCTCTGACAGGAGGTGTTATTATTATCACAGCTTCTGAGAAGGGATCTCTATCTTGCCAACTCTCCAGATTTTATCATGAATCTCATGATATTTAAGGGCTGGAGTCATGCAAGTACACGAAAAATCTCAAAAAAACAGAAAGCAAATTGAACCCCTCCCCCCCAATAATTTATTATTTTTTTAAAAACCCTCATGATTTTAAGCTACTTGAGATTTTTGGGGGCTGACTCATAATACCTGGGGTTAGCAATACTATAGAACCAGGTCTCACACTTTGCTTTTAGGACAGCCTGGGCCATATTCTGATCTCACTAACACCAGTGAAAATTCAGAGTAACTCCCCAATGGATAGATTTACTCCAGATTTGGACCCATAATGTTAATTCATTCTTCTTTACCCTGTTCATGAAATATTTCTACTGAGAACTCTCTGTGATGACTGAAATTACCCTACTCTCTACCAGTGCTATTTCCTGGCTGGTAAGAATATAGCACAGAGTTATGAAATATTCCCAGGATGTCTTGCGTGCAGTCACATTTTATTATAGGTGCCTTAAGCTCCTGCCAGTTAGCTTTTAAAGCGCTGACCCCTTAACCTGCCTGGGTTTTATTTATTTACTTACTTAATTTACAGCTGTGCTCTTCCCTTACAGCATTTACCAATGTTGTTTTTAAAAATATAGGTTTAAGAAGCACTTAATAGAATTATGAGCTCTCCATGCAAAAGTACTGAGCTAAAGTTTTTTTCTTCCTCTTTGGAGACCCCTTAGATGACCCTGAGGCTACATGTTGACAGGGTTTAGAACTTTATCTACATTAGGGGTTTGTTTAAGCAAAAGCTCCCTAGAGTTGCTAGCCCCAGCATAACTCACTAGTATGGAATGGTTGTCAGAATTTTTAATATCCTGTCTCACCCAACTCAGAGCAGGTCTAAATCACATGGTGTTAAAAATCTCGGCAGCCACAGGAGGTGTCCACCATCACTAACAGTGGTGGATCTGTATCAGTGCTCACAACGGTGGGACATCTTTGCTAAAGAACCCTAGTGTCGTCAAGGTTCTGTGTCTTGTGAACATGAAGCCTCACGGAACTGCGGAAGCTCCACAGAGTAAATAGCAAGAACTGACCTCCCGCTCATCATCTCTGAATGAAAAAGCTCATCCTGTCATTAACTATTTTATTTTGAGAGATGAGTCATGATAGAAAGACACACAAGTGTTGATTCATATCGACCAACTAACCACGGAAGCTAATTTCCAGATATACATCTTTCTACGCTACTCCTCCATCGGCTCATGGTGTTACAGCAAAAGCTGATAAACTGATGTCAAACCATTTAATCAGTGAAATAAATAAAATATGTAATTCAATCATTCTGCACACACTAGGCAAGGGATCTGCAGTGAGCAAATATCCTCTTTCAGTGCCGTCCTATCTGATATATCAAGGCACCCAAAGGGGTCATCAGAAAAAATGAAAATCCCCAGGTGCGATGTGACAATTAGGATCTATGCATTTTACTCAGGGTCGGTCACATGCCTCCTCCCCCAGCTTAAGTTGTCAGAAAGGTTCACCAATGCAGCTAAAGTGTCACTTTGTTTTAAGGTGCTTGGAACTGAGGATCAAGAAATGTTTGGCGAGGATGTTAACAGCCCAGCTCTAACAGGAAAATGAAAGAGACAACATTTGTTTCCAGCTGGTTGAAAAGCTGTCTCCAAAAAGATGAGATTGAAGAGAAATAGTCAGATAGAGACCCTGATCCAGCAAATCACTTCACCCTTTTTTCATTTTATTTTATTTAGGTAAAAAGGACCTTTAGGCACCCTTGGGGTAACTTAAAAATACAGCTTAAGTGCAGCAGTACAATTTCAGCTAACAACTCCACTGAAGCCAAATAACTTAAAAACTCAAATCCTCCTCAAACAATTCACCAAGCTCGTAATTCCTCCTCCCAACCACTCCGTTTTCAAATGCCTGGGAAAAGAGAGGAGTCTTTACACAACATTCCAACATACCAATTGTGCCTCATTGTTTGCTTGTGCTCCCCCCACCACACAAACCCACACCTCTTTTTTCTCGTGTTGTTCTCAGATTATAAACTGTCTAGGGGCGAGAACTATCGTTTTGTTCTGTGTTTTTACAGCACCTAACACAACAGGGTCCTTGTTTGTGACTGGAAATTCTAGGTGTTACTGCAAGACAAAGAAAGAATAAGTGTGCTGGAGATCATCAGATTTGGGCTATTTTGGACTATAAGGAAAGTTATTTCCAAAGATATAAGGCCATCAAAGAGAACAGTCTGCCAGGACCCCCCTCTCATTTATACCAATAGGACTGTGGTTTTCGCACCACTGTTGATATCAGCTCTGACAGTAGGGCGCATACAACATGCCTGTAGCTTTAAGCAAGAGTGGTATCATTGAGTTCAATGGGACTAGTTGCATGGTTAAAGTAAAACGTGTGCTTAAGGCCTTTATAGGTAGTAAATATATTTTTAATTCTCTGTTTGCCTTTCACTGCTTCTAGGGACCCTATGTCTGGGTCTCAAAGAGTGAGTGATCTCCCCTACCAGGTCCATGCTGCTGACAGAGAATGAATCATTAGATGCTTCTGGTGATTTAGAAGCAGGGAAGAGTGAATTGATTCTGATAAAAATAGAACTGACATGAACCTTTCCCAA